CATACCTCAAGCGTTGTTAGAGCATGTTTATCGGTAATATAAACCGGGTATCAAGGGCTTTTTAAGATTAAAAAATTAATTGTGGGTATTAAAGTGGTGAGAAACGGATCAGTAAGCTGAGACTGTGGAGACGGTTCATAGCGGACACGTGGCGTCGTATAATTGGATCGACCTGTTTAGAAAAAAAAATTCACGATTTTCTTGTTCTTCTCTTTGCATCGACGGCGATAATGGCGATGATCCTCTCTTTTCTCTCTTCTTCGTTCGTCGGCGATTCGGGGGTCCGTGGTTGCAAACGAAGGACTCAGAAAAGAGTACGATACTCTCTCTCTCTCTCTGTTGCTTCTTCCCTTCGAATCGATCACTCGATGTCTTCGAACGAAGAATCTCTTTAGGCATTCACTTTGTCCGGTTTGGATGATGTCGAAAACTACGGTCTTGTGAGTGATTTAAGATTATTGGATTAGTTCTTCTTTTATGTTTCGAAGGAGTGTTTGTGAACAATGCATGTTCTAGTTTTGGATTGTTGATTAAGTTTCAGTAATGTTTTTTTTGGGGTTGTTTACAATGTTTGATTATGTGAATTTTGTTTGTTGTTGAATTTTTCAGGTCACTGAAGCTGACAATTCGTTACCTATAGACATACACAATCAAGTTTTTCAGCTTGTACGGAAACCAAGCATTCAAAGAGTCTCGATTTGAAGAGGTGAAAAAGCTTCTAATGGTTTTTTGTTGCTCTTGCTTGCTTCTTTATTTAGGAATTGCCTGAGAACTGATTTGGTCTCTGCTTTCTTGTAACTTCTTAATGCAATTTGGTTATGGAATGGTTTTTTGGTGAACATGATAATGATAGAAGCAGGAGTCGAAGACCCTTATTGGACATCTCCTCCTTGTTGGAAGCTTGGTGATAATCCTACTCAAGATCATGTCTGCGCTGGAGAAATACGTGATACTCAAGATCGTATTAGGAAATCTACGCGGATCTGCTGAAGAAGAAATACAAAATTGAGGACCAGCTAGTGATAATTGCAGAGACCTTGCATCAAATGGAGGTAAGATATATCGTCAGATTGAGATTCTGAACACACATACAGTTTTGCTAGTTCTAGCTGAACTATTACGGAAATGAAAAAGCTTCTTTAAAATTTGCTATGATTGGTAACTGTTAAGTAGTTAGAAAAGGTATCTAGCAAATAGCAAGGAAACTCCCTTGGAAATTACCAGTGAATGCCATGTAGTAAGAAGGATTCAAATGATACATAGTGTAGAGACCTTTAATGAAAATGGGGAGTAGTATACATGACATTTTCATAATGAATAAGGATAAACATCTTCACATGGCTACTTGTTTTATTCTCAACAAAGATAGAAACGACTGTCTTTTTCATTCTTTTTTTATAAGGGACCGTGAAATATAGACACATGATTAGGAGTAGGACACTTAAGCATGAATTTGAGTTATATTACTTGTCATCTGTCTTACCTAACCAGACATGTGTATTGTATGTAGGCAAAAAAAAACACGAGTATTACCTGAAAGAAACCACCATTGCAGGCGGAAGAATGTAACGAGTAGGCACGCGAAGGACACCTGAATCGGTACGTGCCATAGCACTTGCAAAGTAATAATTATTAGTTTCCTCCATTGAATTTGCAAAAATCTGTTTTGGTACTTTGAGTTATGTATGTCCTTAAACTTGAACAAACATGCAAAGCTCGTTTATACTCATGAAGATAACTTGGTTTAAAAAGAAATGAAGTAGACACTTCTTCTTTTTCTCTTTGAATACGGTTTTGGAAACTGGGCAAGCAACAATCCTTTCGGCTATGGTTCTTCACCAACATAACAAGAAAGCTTGTAATTTACGTTTACAATTTTATACAACCTATTAAATTACTCTTTTTAA